CGTACGATCGAAGCAGTCAGTATGAAATTAATCGGTGAGTGATGCTGGCTTACTTTTATAATAACAGCTGTTTGTGGCACCCTGTCATGCTTGCATCACTTCCCATTTGAGACATCAAAATGGCCGGCGCGACAGGCAGTACATATTATTCCTCTCTCTCTCTCTCTCTCTCTCTCTCTCTTTCAGTCTCTATTTCCCTCCCTGATTGCTTATCTCCTTTTTTGCCACTCTCTCTTTTACGCTCTATCATACGATGTTCTCTTCCAGCTTCTCTCAATTCTTGTTTTTTTTTTTGTTTTAATTTTCCTGTCATTTCTCTTTCTAGATATTTCGTGCTCTTTTCAATTTTGCTCTTTCATTCTTGTTCTCGATCGTTACGATCTCTAATTTTCTCTAACTGTATTTTTCTTTCTTTTCTTTTTTTATCTTTATTCTCTATTTATCTTTCCTTCTTACTAACTTTTTCCTCCTTCTCTTTCTTTTATACTTGCCCTTCTCTTTCAGTCATTCCTACCCTCTCTTTTCTTATTCTTAACAATTTTTTTTCGTGATTTATCTATTTTTCTCAATTTGCGTCATAGTTGCTTTTAATTCCCCATTCTCTCTCTCCCTCCCCCCTCTGTTATTCACTTGTTCTCCCGCCTTTTCTCTCCTTTTTTTTTCTTTTCTTTTTCTTCCTTATCTCTCGCATTATTTCCCCTCTATTTTTCTATGCTTTCGGATATTTTAATATCATTATAATTCGTCTCCTCTCTATTCTTTATTTACTTCTTTTCTCTCTCAAATCTCGATATGCTTTTTCTCATTTTAGAGGCTAATCTCTTTGCCTGTCTTTCGGGTTTGCGCTTAACTTTTTTATTGTCTATTCTGTTTTTCATATTCTATGGTTTTCATTTTCTCGCTTTTTCCTACTTTATAGTTTTGCTACATTTGTTTCTTTTAAAGTTTTCTTTTTATATATATTATCATCTTAGATAATCTTTTTTTTTCCATCGATCAGTATGGCTGATGCTAACCACCAGTAAAGTGACTCTTTCTCTTCCGCTTACATGAAGATTAAAGTTTATTTTGATTCAATTGCTAGGTCTTTTGCTAGGAAATATGGAACACTGTGTCGTGCTAAATAATATTTTCTCGGCAGAATTTGTAAGTCTGTCATTGATCGATGCATTGAATATTATTGTCACATCTGTGCTTCTGCTATGTATTTTGGTAAAATCCAAAAGAGTATCTGCAATGTTATCAGTCCTTACCTGGCATCTAAGCTTCAGTCACCGTAACGAAACAACTCTTTTTTTCTATAAATATTTTTATGATACTGATGTTCTTTCTTCTTTGGTTCCTCGTCTTTAAGAATTTAAGCGCAGCACTAGACTAGCATCTCGTTGTCAGTATTTTACTAATGAAATGGTTAGATGTAATTTCTATGCTAAAGAGTTTCTTCTCCCGTATTTCTCACTTGTGAAATTCTCTTCTGGCTTCTTAATATCCAGTCACCTTTGATCTCGAAAAATTTAAATGCAGTGCCAATCTTCATTTTTGTCTTCTCAATTCCACTCCATTTATTGTTCTCCCTCCCCAATAATATATCTGTTTATTCTTTTTCTCATATTCTTTCACACACAGTAACTCCGTGCGTAACACTAAATAACTTCATTGCCTTGCTTCTAGTGAAATGATTAAAAATATTTCTTGTTTTGAAATATTCTATGTATCCTTTACGGTATTTATCTATGCATATTAAAAAGCGGTAATTTTTATTAAGTCTGCATTTTGATCTACCTAAAATACGCTCATTCACGTGCGCGAGCGAGCGAATACACACGCAATCACACACACTCAAAGATACTCATACGTACACATGCGCACACACACACGCACACATATATACTATATTTATGTATATGATAAACATTTTATTTCGTCAAAGAATGGTCGAGTCGGTTACCTCTGGAAGATAATGTCAAGCAGCCTCTGTCAGTATGGAGATGAAAATGAAGACGTAGTACATTTATTATTATTTATTGATTGTAAGATGTAAATAGAATTTTGCACTCAATCTCCCTAAAAGAGTGGATTAATTCCTCAGAAATAGACAAAATAAGAGACCATTTAATTTATTATATATATACATATATATATATATATATATATATATATATATATATATATATGTGTGTGTGTGTGTGTGTGTGTGTGTGTGTGTGTGTTACTTAAGGTAATTTTTACTGGGCTCAGGAATATTTCCACACTCTCCATATATATATATATATATATATATATGTGTGTGTGTGTGTGTGTGTGTGTGTGTGTGTGTGTGTGTGTGTGTGTGTGTGTGTGTGTGTCTCTTACTTAAGGTAATTTTACTGGGCTCAGGAATATTTCCACACTCTCCATATATATATATATATATATATATATATATATATATATATATATATATATATATATATATATATATATATATATATATATATATATATATATATATATATATATATATATATATATATATATATATATATATATATATATATATATATATATATATATATATATATATATATATATATATATATATATATATATATATATATATATATATAAAAAAAAATACAGAAAAAAACGAATAAAAATCTTAATATGCAATTATGCTGTATTAATGTTAATATAATGTCGACGTCGGACGTTTCGGTCTATTTAAGACCATCTTCATGGACATTTTCATTTAAACATAATTAACATTAGAACATATAAAAAAAAATAACACAAAAGACGATGGGCATAAGAGCACAACTAATCGTCGACTTTATATTAACATTAATACAGCATAATTGCATAATAAGATTTTTGTTTGTTTTTTCTGTATTTTTCTTCATACTGTCGGATCTGAATTCATATATTTGCTTACATATATATATATATATATATATATATATATATATATATATATTAAGTATTACGCCCCGAGCAAGGCGTGAAGCCACTAGGATGCAGAACATTTGGAGCGAGAGCAGATAGGAGTGATAGAAGAAATGATGAGGAGAGGGATAGTGGATAGATCAAGGTAACTGGAGATGTCGATTGAAATTACATTTGAATAGTTGGAGATTATAACTCTCAGGGAAACAGTAATTGGGAAGGGTGTTCCACAGGCGTGAGGTGCGAGGTATGAAGCTATTGGAGTAGAAGAGACGGCTACATTTAAAAGTTTCTACAGTATAAGGGTTGGAGCGGGATGCCAGCCTCGTAGGGCGCTTGAATTCATGGATTCTGATTGAAAATAAGCGAGTGGGTGATAGAGGTGATAGTGATATTTAGGGAACATAGACAGGCTAGTCAGGCTATGAATCTAGAGATAATCCAGATGGAAGTTGTTTAGAATGGATTCGCTATCAGATCCTTTCTAACGAACGCGGGCATTCTCTTATGCTCTATCCAGGTCCCTACACTATTTCTGATCTTCATTAATGATCTCACCGATGTCATCAGTTTTTAACTAGGTATTTATACTGATGACACAAGCATTTACTCCTGTCTCGATAGCAAATGCGACTGATCTGACAAAATAATCCCGACGGCTGCTCTTGAAAAGGGCATCCCAATCAGTGGTTAACTGGGGCAAGAATCAACCTGCAAATTTGAAGACCTCTAAAACAAAACTTTAATCACCATAGTGAACCTTTTCTACTTGCCATCAACATGGCTGACGCTAAACTCCAGGAGGGCAACACACTGCGCTTTCTTGGCTTCACGTTTTCCACTGACTTAGAGGTGGAGCGACTACATCGAATCAATAGCTGCATCTACTGCGAGGAAAGTTGGGCCACGGCGTCGTGCCAGAATTTTTTCTCGTCAGAGTCCATCTTGCTCATTTACAAATCTACCATTCGAACGTGCATTGAATACTGCAACCATATCTGATCTGGTGCTCCTGATGTACATCTAGAGACTGTTGACAAAATCTAAAGGAGGATATGTAATGTAACCGATCCTTACTTAGCATCTCAACTTCAGTCATTTTCTCACCGACGTCTTTTCTACAAATATTTTCACGGCAACTGCTCTAACGTATTTGTTCGTGATATTCCGACTACATGCATTTAAGTTTGCTGCTAGATTGACATCTAAATCCCAACATTGTACTG